CTCAAATGTACCTAATTTTGAAAGCCCACAAAGTTACTGTGTGAATGTGAGGATTTGGGAAAAGTGCCTGAAGACAGAGCTCTGAGAAGCAAAACTGCTTGCATGTTGAGCAACTGATCCCTGAATACAGGAGAGCTCAGGAGTAAGAAAAAACACCGCAGCGTCAGTGTTTAAAAGCCAAAGGAGGGAGGGGTAAGATGAGTGCAGAGAGAAGAACAAAGTTGGAGGACTGACACTGCCTGATTATAAGACTTACCATAGAGCTACAGTGATCAAGACTGTTGGGCCGGCCCCGTGGCTTAGCGCTTAAGTGCACGCGCTCCGCTGCTGGCAGCCCGGGTTCGGATCCCGGGCGCGCACCGACGCACCACTTTTCCGGCCACGCTGAGGCCGCGTCCCACATGCAGCAACTAGAAGGATGTGCAGCTTTGACATACAACTATCTACTGGGGCTTTGGGGGAAAAATTTAAAAAAATTAAAAAAAAAAGACTGTAGTACTGATGAAAGAATAGACAGATCAATGGAACAGAATAGAGAGCCCGGAAATAGATCCACATCAATATCAGTGTCAACTGATCCTTGGCAAAGGAGCAAAAGCAACACAATGGAGCAAAGATAATCTTTTCAACAAATGGTGCTGGAACAGCTGGACGCCCACATGTAAAAAAAAATGAATCTAGACACAGACCTTGCCCCCTTCACAAGAATTAACTCAAAATGGATCATAGACCTAAATGTAAAACGCAAAACTATAAAACTCCCGGAAGAGAACACTGGAGAAAACCTAAGTGCCCTTGGGTATGGCAATGCCTTTTTTGATACAACACCAAAGATACCATCCATTGAAGAGTGCAGAGAAATCTTTTGCTTTGCTCCCACAGCCTCAGCTCCTTGTCCCTTGGAGCAGGCGGGAGGGGACTGGTCCTGCTCCCGGGCTGTCTGGCGACCAGAGGGACCAAAGGAAAGGAGTGGGATTTTGTGGGTGGTTGGAGCTTCAGCTCACTGCCCCCAGGCAATTCCTTCCCAGGGATTAACATCTGAGAGCTGAGCTAAAGAAAGTTCAGTCATCCCATTGAAGGTTTTTTTATTTTGGTTATAAAATCTCCTTTCCAGTTAGCACTGCATCTTTTCTTTTTCACTTTTTAAGCAATTTTGAGATATGATTTAGGTACAGTAAAATGCATCCAGTGCAACTATGACGTACAACTATCTACTGGGGCTTTGGGGAGAAAAAGGGAAAAAAAAGAAGGATTGGCAATAGATGTTAGGTCAGGGCCAGTTTCCTCAGCAAAAAGAGGAGGATTGGCATGGATGTTAGCTCAGGGCTGATCTTCCTCACAAAAATAAATAACTAAATAAACAAATAAATAAATAAATGTTAAAAAAAAATGCATCCATTTTAGGTATACAGTTCAATGAGTTTTGACAAATAGATAACTCATTTAACCCGCACCACAATCCAGACACTGAACATCTCTGTCACTCATGACCCTTCTCAGCAATCCTCACTCTCTACCCCTGGCCCCAGGAGGTTTTGGAGAGAAAGTTTTGCTTTCTGTCACTATAGATTAGTTTTGCTTTTTCTAGAGTTTCACATCAATGGAATCATTCAGCGTGTACTTGTCTTTGTCTGGCTTCTTTTGCTCAGCACGATGTGGCTGAGATTACCCATGTTGTGTCTATCAGTAGCTGCTTCCTTTTTATTGCCAGATAAGATTCCATTGTATGGATTTATCATAATCTGTTCATTCATCTGTTCATGGATGTTTGAGTTTCGGGCTGTTATGAATAATGCTATTATACATACAGGTCCTTTTTGCAGACATATATTTTCATTTCTCTTGGATAAATATCTAGGAATGGAATTGCTGGGTCGTATGGTAAGTGTATGTTTAACTTTATAGGAACCTGCCAGAATACATCATGTTCTTCTTAGGAACTTGATTTTTTTGGCAGGGGTTGCTATTTTGCCTCTAGTATTATTTGTATCCCTCTACTCCCCTTAAATTTCGTAGACTACATACTGCAGACTATCTGAAAACAGGTGGGTGTGTCCATGGCTGTTTGGTCTAGAATTTCTGGGTTAGGGTCAGGGTCCATTCTGGGTGAGAAGATATTGGGTTATTGCTCATGCTAAAGAGACCAGGCAGGCCAGATAGAAGAGTTTAAACAAATAATGTGTGCTCTTTGGAAGAGTGCTTTTCAAGGCTGTGGGAAAGGCTGTGCTTGCGCCAATTGAGGAAATGGCTAATCCCTGAAGGATGCAAGATATTTGCAGGAGAAATTGTTCCCTGTGGGGAATATGGAGGGCTTCTAACCCAGCTCTTTCCTTAACTTCCCTGCCCTCTTATGGAGAGAACCCAGTGGCCAGCTCAGTCTGGGAACTACTGAGAGCTGTGATACGGTCAATGTAGAACAGGGAGACGTTGGCTCACAGCCTGTTTCTGCTTCTAACTAGTATAGCAAATGGAAATGAGATACCAAACCACAGGATTGAAATATGTAAGAAAGGTGCTTTGTAGTGGAAATAATAGGCAAATGTAAGTTGCTATTCCTTTATACACTGAAGAACAGCCAATGCAAATTGCTAGTCTGTTTCTACCTTTCTTTTTAAGTAAATATGTTTGTGATAGGAATCAAATTTCTGATCGCCATTTTGCAATGGTTAATTCAACTGAAGATCACATTTCATCTGCTTAAATGCAGACGTGTACTTGCTGGTATTCTCTAAGTATGTTCTAAGCAATTCCGGTTTCATAGACAAGTAACTTTGGGAAACGCCATGTTGCAGTCTCTAGATGCTGGCTGTCTTGTGGAAGTACCCTAAGTGTTCTAATGATGTCGTTTTTGCATCTCATTAACCGTCTTGGTTGGTGTATTAGTTATCTATTGCTGTATAACAAATTACCAACAATTTAGCAGCTTAAAATCACACACATTAATTATCTCACCGTTTCGGTGGGGTCAGGACTCCTGGCATGGCTTAGCTGGGTCTTCTGCTTCTGTGTCTTACAAAGCTACAATTAAGGTGTTGGCCATGGCTGAGGTCTCATCGAAAGGCTTAACTGGGGAAGGATACACTTGAGGTCACATGGTTGTTGGCAGAATTCGGTTCCTTGAAGTTTAGACTGGGAGCCTCAGTTTCTAGTTGGCTATTGGCCAGCGGCCACCCTCAGTTTCTTGCCATATGGGCCTTTCCAACATCAAACATGTAAGCCCAGAAGGAATAAAGAGAGTTTTCTAGCAAGACGGAAGCCACAGTTTTACGTAACCAAATCACGGAAGTGATATCCCATCACCCTTGCTGTATTCTGTTGGCTAAAAGCAAGTCATAGGCCCCACCCACACTCAAGGGGAGGGTATTACACAAAGGTGTGACTACCAGGAGGCCATCTTAGACTCTGTTTGCTAAGCTGGGTTGTAGTCAGACCCACCTACCTCTGAAACTGAATGCACTGCAAACAGTTGCCTAGAGATTCTAGTGCTAGGTGAACAACTCAACCACCAAAGTAAGAATTCGTGGATAAATTTGGCACAAATTATAAAGGATGATCCAGAGTCTTTTATTCTTCTAGACTTATTTTTACAGGAAGTGGGTAGAACAAATGGACTGTCAGTGGGATTTTCCTGTATATCAAGACCAGCATCCTGCACAGAGTTTGACCCAAAGAAGGCCTTCAGTAAAAACTGCATGAATAGTTTTTGGCTTCAAAATATAGCTTCACTTGAACAGCTCTATTGTCATGCTTTTGTAACAAATATTTCATAATATCCTACATCCTGAAATGAAATCCATAAATAGAATTTATCTACACACATAATTTCAAAACATCAATGACTTAACTGTAATATCAAAGACAAAAGGGGAGTAATTTATAATAAAAAATAATGTGTTTCAATACGTAAATGCTCTAAAACAAAGTGGTTAGGTGCTTGCTTCTGAATTTAGATTCACCATTAATGAGACAGCTGTAAATGCAGATGTGTGATACTGGTGTGTGCAATTAAGGACCCAGGTCTTACAATTTGCCATTGGTGATGTGATTTTTCCATAAAGATGAACAATTCTTGGAAACATTCTGAACAAAACAAAAAAATAATCATCCCGCTTTTTACACACAAGTTGCATACCTAGAAAATTCAGTATATGTTCAAATTGTGCAAAAATTACCTTGTTTTGGAGTTAGTTTAGGCTCAGGTAATTATAAATAGGGCTTTCATCTACAGGTGTGTCACACAGGACATTGGAAAGCATGAGGGACTTGAGACCATTCATTGTACAGGACTTGGCCGCACTCAGCAGAACAAATGGCTGGGACCTGGCACTTCTCCCTGTACACACTCCCCCAGTTCCAGGAATGCCCCCCACTTATTGCAACAACAAGAACATTCCCTTGGATTTCACTATGGGCAGCACCGCTCTCCACTGAAAGCCACTGCAGTGGGGCTTACCATCTTGGGGAGAGGAAAGTGATGCAGTTATTCTGATTTGGTTGGACCCAGTTAAGCCTAAATATCAAGGAGTACCATGAGAAAGAGGAGGATAAAAATCGGTGCATTCAAAGTCTCTATTGTGGCCCAGCAGCCGAGGCGTAGTTGGGTGCTTGGATCAAGCAAAAGAACCAGTAACTGCTGAGGTGGAGGGAGAGGGAACACTTTATTAGGCTGTCAGGATGGGCGTCTTAAAGCAGACACTTCGGGGGCCGGCCTGGTGGCGCAGCGGTTAAGTGAGCGTGCTCTGCTGCGGCAGCCCGGGGTTCACAGGTTCGGATCCCAGGCGCGCACCGATGCACCGCTTGTCAAGCCATGCTGTGGTGGCGTCCCATATAAAGTAGAGGAAGATGGGCACGGATGTTAGTCCAGGGCCAATCTTCCTCAGCAAAAAGAGGAGGACTGACATCGCATGTTAGCTCAGGGCTAGTCTTCCTCACCAAAAAAAACTGGACGCTTTGAAAGCTGAATTTTAAGAATACTGATGAAATGTTCTCTTTTCCAACAGAAACCTGTTTCCCTCAAATCTTGTGGTTGCAGCTTTCCGTACGGTAAGGTTTGATGCTTTGCTAAACATACAAAACATCGATGTGGGGGTGGTGTATAAATTGCTGCTATCAAGTTAGATAAGGTAGAACGGTGTGGGGGAGGGGGATAGCGTCATTAACAAAACTTGGCAACATTGGCCTAAATTTTTATAGATGGGTCCCTGGAGTAAAAACAAACAAAACAAAACAACAAAAAATCCCCAAATTTTTCTAAAATATCCCACTGGTTCCAACATCTTTTCATATCACCTGAGAAATACCCTCAAATCACATTTTAGGGATCTGTTAAATATTTTAGAATTTTAAAAAAATAGACTGATATGTTTTTTTCTGATTATAAAGGTAATATATGCTCATTGTAAAAAAATAAAGTACAAACAGTGGAAGATAAAAATTACCCATAATCGCTACCTAGAGGCACCCGTTAACATTTTGGTATACATCCTTCGGATATGTTTTTTCTATGCATGTGCACACACATGTTTTAAAAATAATTATACACACATATTAGTATATACACATACTACACACATTGTTTTGTCACCTGCTCTTTTTTAAGACAATATATTGTGAACATTTTCTCATATCGGTAAATATCCTGCAGAATGTTATTGGCTATATTCCACTGTATGAGCAGACCGTAATTTTACTCTCTCAGCCCCTTCTTGCTGGATATTCAGGTTGTTTCTAGTTTTTCCCTAATTTTAGCAATGCTGCAAGTAATGTCCCGGTTACACAGACAAGGAATATAAAGGTCTAGATTAGATGGACTAATCTGATTGCCTTTTTCAAGCAAAGACTTTTCTGTTTCTGCTCACAGCCTCTCTCTCTTTAAAAATCTGCATATAAGCCAAGCTGTGGCTTGTATATATAATATGAAGTAGGAGAAAAATAAAAGGTTTACGGGGCTTTCAGTGCCTGTAATAGAAAGTGTGGGGTGGATTTTGTTTCCCCTGCCACCCTTGATCACAGGACATCTGAACACCTGTGCCTGTCTGAAAGCTTGGCAAATCAAAGCCGAGAGAGACCAGAGCTACTCAAAGGCAAGCATAAAGCAGGCCTCCAGGGCTGTACCCCACAATGGGCTTCCACTGACAGTTCAGAAGCCAGGTGTCCTTAGAAGGGGTCGGGAGGGGGGTTTTATAACAGACTGCACTGGATAGAGCATCCTGCCACAGGGAGACACCTGTGTGCCTTGTGCAGAAGTATGTGAAGTCAACCGTCGGACCAAAGTTTGCAGAGGCGGTTCACTTCTAATAAGCAAATCTCCCAGAAGACTCAGCCCGAAAATGCCGTCTTGCCTCACATCATGTGCTTGGGAGAGGGAAGGCTCTGGCAGATTAGAAACAGTTGGTGAAAAGCAGTCAAACTCAAGTAAGTTCTGGAACAAGGTGGAGCACAAATGAATGAAAATAAAATGACACATTGGAAAGTGAACTTTGGCATTATGGAATTAATACCAAGATTCTCCAAATAGTATCAAACTATGAGCATGAAATCGTGCAGACTTTCTCCTCCAAATCATTGTCCAAGGGACAGAAGGAAATTCTCCCTGCTTTCTTGGGTCCCTAAATAACCCAGAGGCCTCTTAGAGTGCATGCTGTCTCGGTCTTAAGAAATTATTGTACAGTTCTCAGAGGTCCTTGTCAGGCCAACCAAGTGAGGAACACCTAGAACCCTCGGAGTGGACAATGACGAGTAGCAAGAGGCCCAGCAGTGCTCTCAGTTCCTCTGGGTCAGTCTTCACCTGTGAACTGACGGTGGGTTTTTCTTTCTCTTGCTCACAGTATGCAACCGATTATAGAGAGGTGACTCACAACACGAGCTCTGGAAACATAACCTATGAAAAGGTAAAGCTCTTTGTAAGATCACTTGTGACAAACGCTTATAAAGCAAATGATGCTTCTTCATTGAAGGAGCATCCACAATGCATCTTTTTCTCAGCAGTGCTGAAAACTTTGGGATTTGAATGGACTATTTGAAGCACACGAGTTAGGTTGGCTCCTTGCGCTGTTTACCAGGATGGCCAGAGGCCAGTGTCTGTAGCACTGGAATCTTTAGTGAATCCATTTCATCGAATTGGAACTAATGTCCCCTTTCTTCAAAAAATATAACACCCTTCTGCTACCCTGAGATATAATTAATAGATGATTTAACCTACCCCTACGCATAGAACTTGTCTTAGGGCTTAACTCACTATAGCCGTCATTCATTCCACATATTTTTTGAGTACGTATTGTTTTCCAGACGCTGGGCTAGGTCCCAGCCTTCATGATAGAGCTGGAAGGGACGAGGGACCTCAAGGATCATTCAGTCCAGCCACAGAGCTGTCGTGGGAAGAGGAGGTACTTGGCCCTTCCCCCACCCCCATACGTACACCTCCCCAGGGCTGAAGGGCTCTGAGTTCTACCAGCCTTTCTTTGATGGAAGGAAAAGTTCCTCAGACTCCATCTCCCTGTGAGTTTCCTACTCCTTGGTTTATGAAATGGCTGAAGGTTAAAGAAAATATGAACCTTTTCTCATTCTGGGTGTAGTGTTTCAGTCTGGTGGAGACACCAAGCAAATGCATCTTTAATTTTCACTCATCTGTTGTAAACTTAGACCCTCTGTCCCCTCTGATCCTACAGATCCCCATTGGCACCGAGATTGAAGGGATGAACATTTTAGGATTGGTCCTTTTTGCCCTGGTGTTAGGAGTGGCCCTAAAGAAACTCGGCTCTGAAGGAGAAGAGCTCATCCGTTTCTTCAATGCCCTCAATGAGGCAACGATGGTGCTGGTGTCGTGGATTATGTGGTGAGTGTCGCCCTGCTGCCTACTCTCCTTCTCATTTCTCCTGCCATCCAGACAAGAACCCGACTCTGCTGTTCTAGATTAACCCTGTGGGGCCACCTGGCTCAGTGCTCCATATGTGGTTGATGTACCACGGGCCAGTCTTGGTACAGTGGGTGGTGGAGATGGAGACAGTTTCTCCTCTTGTCCAGGGCCTCAGAGAATCAGTCACTTCCCCAGCACCCACAGTGACCCCTTAAGGTTCTAACATCGATGATTTATTTATGAGTTCCCACCATCATCTCATATTATATGGGGTGCCCATATCGTCTTGTGGGGCAATGAATTCCATAAGTCCCTAAATCTGCTGTATAAAATAAGTCTCATTTATCTCAAAACAATAGACTTTAAGCTTCAAAGGGGCCCCTTGCTATAGTATTTTACATCATGGAGGACAAACCCAGCCTCACTCCATGCATATATAAACTGGAATGGTCTTTTTTTACATAAATGTTTCATTATGTAATATCAATGAAAGGATGATTGTTTAATAAAAACCATTCAATTGAAAACTTGACCAGATCTCTCAAAGTAACTTCTCAGAAATCATACCAATTCCAGTTCCAATGCCTCATAAGCTTTATCCTGCTGTTTTGCTGAAGCCTAACTTCTGTGGGTTTTAGCTTCTACCCCTTTGTTGTTGAGAAACTAGTTTATCCTTTCATGCACAAAGCGTTTTCTTTATTGTTGAGCCTTAAACATCCCAGAACTTCTCTCTCTCAGGTGGCATTGGGGAGGCAGCAGGACTGATTTTAAGGGAGAAGCCTGAAATTTGGTAAGAAAGTTTGGAATTGAGTGGGAGGCAAGTGCTGAGCCCCCACTGGTGGTGGTGATCTTGCTCAACCAAATTTTCTTGCTCAACCAAAAATTCCAGAGTCTGACTCTCTACCATTGCAAACACAGCTCTTCTTATGACTGTTGTTGTTCTGGGGAGAGAAATATTTTCAGAAAGGAAAAAGTGTTTTCATCACATCAAGTTCTTTTCCTGGCTTATTTTTTTAGTCTAAAATCCTCCCAAAGTTTGTATTAAAGGAAACTCTTTGCAAGAAAGTGATGTTCCTATGTTAAGACATTCATTTTCAATCTGGAAACCAATCTACAATTGGATGTACTAGTTACATAGGCAGGTATTCATTCGGTAAGGCAGACCCTGCTGAGGGTCTAACTGCAGTGGGAGATCTGTTGCCCAGAAAGTGCATCTCACACAGAATTGAGGTTTAAAATGCCTTAACTGGTGAAAGAATCTCAACCAGGTGTGGGCGGGATCTTCAGTACTAGCTTTTTGCTTTCGTTCCTTCTCTCCCTACTCTAATGTCAAAGCACCTGCCCACCTTGCACTATTCACAGAAATAGCTTCTCGATGGATTAAATACAGGGTCGGCAAACTTTGCAGGCCATATGGTCTCTATCACAACTACAACTCTGCCGTTGCAAGACAAAAACAACCAGAGACAATTTGTAATCAAATGAGCATGGCTCTGTTCCATGCATTAAACTATCCAGGGAGGAAGAAAGGAAGAAGGAAGAGAGTCCTCTAAAAGTATTAGAAGAAAATATAGGAGTAAGGAGTCTTCCTCAACAAAATACAAAAAGTAAAAGCCATAAAAAGCTGCTATGACTACATCAAAATAGAAAATGTTTGTATGCAAAAGTACCTTGAACAAAGTTAAAGATAAGACACTTATTGAAGAGGCCGGCCCGGTGGCGCAAGCAGTTGGGTGTGCGCACTCCACTGTGGCGGCCCCGGGTTCGCCAGTTCAGATCCTGGGCGTGCACCAACGCTCTGCTTGGCAAGCCATGCTGTGGCGGTATCCCATATAAAGTGGAGGAAGGTGGGCACGGATGTTAGCCCAGGGCCGATCTTCCTCAAAAAAAAAAAAAAAAGACACTTATTGAAAAAAATTGATATATATTTACATATAGTATGTGTGTTCCCACACACACGATCTAGAGGCGTTAGTATCCAAAGGACTGGTACCAGTTCGCAAACTGTTTATCTGTCTGCAATGAGATTTATAGGGAAAATTGAGAATAAGTGTTTAGAAACTTTTATTGCAATTTCGTATTGCTGCAAAATTCAAGCCCATGATCATTTTTCTAATATTTTATTTTTATTGTCTTTTATAAGAATATTGGTCCATGACCGACTGCATAGAAATAAACTGGTCTTTCACCAAAGAGAGTTTAAAAAAAAAGCAAAGAGTTTAAAAGAAGCACTAATAAAAAGAGTTCTGATTACTGAAAAAGAAACAATACTGAATAAACGATTAGAAAATGGGCAAAGTATGTGAGCAGACAATTCATAGAAGAGGAAATCTGAATGACCAGTAAACGTTTTAAGAGATGCCCAACTTATTAGAAATCAGGAAAATGAAAAGTTTGGTTTTATCAGGCATTGATAACAGTGAGGATAGGGTCTCTCAACAGAAAGGCTAGTGACATTTTGGGCTGGATCATTCTTTGTTGTGGGGGGCTGTCTTGTGCACTGTAGGATGTTTATTAGCATTATCCCTGGCTCCACCCACTATATGCCAGCAGCACCCCCTCCCCAAAGTTGTGACAACCAAAAATGTCTGCAGACATTGCCAAATGTCCCCTGGGGGCAAAATCATCCATGGATGAGAAACAGTGGTGCAGGGAAAGGATTATTCTCCTAGACAGCTGGCGGGAATGTGAATTGTAACAGCCATTTTGGAGAACAGTTTGTCGGTAAGTACTAAAATTTAAAATATGTGCACCCCATAACTCAGCAGTTCCACTTCTTGGTGTCTCTCCCTCGAGAACACAGGCATGTGGGCACGAAGAGGCCTGCTTGCAGCATGGTTTGCAGTGATGAAAACCTGGGGACAATCTAAGTATCCATCAGCAGGGCAATGGCAGAATAATCTATAGTATTTCAGTTCTGAGGCTGATATTTAAAAAGAATGAGGTAAAGGTGGAAACACCCAACATGTCCATTGACAAACGAATGGATAAACAAAATGTGGTCTATCCATACAATGGAATATTATTCAGCCTTAAGAAGGAATGAAATTCTGACACATGCTACGACATGGATGAACCTTAAAGACATTACGCTAAGTGAAATAAAGCCAGCCACAAAAGGGAAAATATTGTATGATTCCACTTATAGGAGGTGCCTAGAATAGGTAAATTCATAGAGACAGAAAGTAGAATAGAGGCCACCAGGACAGGGGGAGGGGAGAACAGGGGGTCATTGTTTAATGAGTACAAAGTTTCAGTATGGGATGATGAAAAGTTCTGGAGATGGATAGTGGTGATGGTTGCACAACAATATGAATATACTTAATGCCACTAAACTGTACACTTAAAAATGGTTAAAATGGTAAATTTTATGTTATACATATTTTACCACAATTAAAACAGAATGAGATAGTTTTCTATGTATTGACATGAAAAGATCTCAAAGATATAATGTGGGGTTAAAAATAAACATACAAATTTAAATACATACCTAGGTATCTAAATGCACAGGAAGTAGGAGTGGTTATTGAGGAAGGGTCTGGCTTGAGGATGGTGCCTAAAGGGGATTTTGGCCTAATCTATAATGTTTTATTTTTTTGAAAGAAGAATGTATTCATGTATTGCTATGGGATTTAAAATTAATAATACTGCTTAGAATATCTCTGGAAAGAAAACTCAAGAAACCAGTGACATTGGCTATCTCCAGGGAAGGAAACTGGGTGCTTGGGGGGCAGAGGTGGGAGGGAGACTTACCCTATTCACCCTTTTGTACCCTTTGAAATTTGAACTATGCGACATTATCATCTATATAATTAAAATTTACAAATAAAGTCAATGGTTGCAAAATTCTTTCTCAATTTATATTAAATTCAAAACAACTGACTTTTGTTCTTTGTAGCTCCCATGGCTCGTTCCTTCCCTTCCTTCTTCCTGTCCTGCCATTAAAAAAATCCTCACGCTCCAGGAGTGTTCCCAGAGGGTCATTGTTTATGACTTTTTCCCACGGAATCATGTTTTCCAAGCCACAAAGAATTTAAAACTTCACAAAAGTCCCAGCTTTGGTTCAATTTTGTATCACAGCAATTCTGCGTAATAGGTGTTAGTCTTTTGTGTTTCTAAGTTCTCAGAACAAACCTGAGCAAAGTTGAAAGTCAAGCTCACAGCCTCAGAGGCTTTGATCCTGAAGAGCTCCTTGCCTTTCCGCTTTGGAGGAGCCCATGGGGTTGGTAGCATCTATGTGTTAAGAACATAATATATCCAAGGGGAAAGAAGTCTGGGTTCTGGTCCTGACACCATTACCCCTGGTGACTTATCATGTTAATTTTACTCAGTTTCACAGCCTGTAAAATAGGCCTATCCTTTTCTACTCCTCAGGGTCATGCTAGGGAGAGACGAAGACCGTCTAGTTGAAAGTCGCTGTTTTCTGTATCGGGAAGGGCCTGCATCTCCCAACCCCGTCACACCACTCTTATTGACAAATACCCTTGCTCATGCTCTAGGTATGTGCCTGTGGGCATCATGTTCCTGGTTGGAAGCAAGATAGTGGAAATGAAGGACATCATCGTGCTGGTGACCAGCCTTGGGAAATACATCTTCACGTCTATATTGGGCCATTTCATTCACGGAGGAATTGTTCTGCCACTTATTTATTTTGTTTTTACACGAAAAAACCCATTCAGGTTCCTCCTGGGCCTCCTCACACCGTTTGCAACAGCATTTGCCACCTGCTCCAGGTGAGTGGGTTTTGGGTGCCCTTGGCCGCTCTGAGCCATATTAATGTGGAACCAGGTAAGCCCAGTGGTGGATGCACAGCTAGTATCTTGACATGTTTTAATTCCTTGAAAACTCTAAAAATTGGTCTCATCTGATTTTTTTCTATTACCAGCCTCATAGCTCTTATGGAGGTAGATTTCTGGGATTGCCTTGCCAGAATGAGGGATTGCCTCATTCCCTTCTCCTTCTCGCCCCTTGGAAGTCAGTCAGATCATTATTTAGCCCAGCTGTGGGTCTTCATTCTAATTAGTAAGACCTTTGCGGAGTAAAAGAAGGCAACCATTTAACTCAAAATGCATCGCAGGAAAGTTTCTAGAATGACACCTATCCAATTTTCCCTCTGGATGCGTGCATTAGAAAATAAGACCAAGACATCATGAGGAGGGATGCGTGCTCAGCTCTCTAGGAGTCCTCATATTGTGGGATTATCTAATTTAGCACAAAAGATGCACCTTGTCCTTCTTAGAAATCCTTCAAAAAAACATTGGGCTTTCCAAATACGTTAAAGAAAACTCTCAAAGGATGGCAACACATCGTTTCATGCACACATTTAGTTTTTGCCTCTCTACTGGGTGTTTCCTTCCATCCTGAATGGCTATTTATATGACAAGATAGTGGTGGTGAAAAGAATTAGGGAGGTAAGTTTTTCTGGCTTAGACAGAAATGAACCTACTTCTGAGCTGCGCCAGCCACCCTCCGCGGAGCCCGCAGAGCTGGCTGGAGAGAGCAGGTCTTGTTCTCCAATTATCAATAAATAGTTACTCTTTCCAAACTTTCAGAGCCATTTTGTGTGTGTGTGTGTGTGTGTGAGGAAGATCAGCCCTGAGCTAACATCCGTGCTAATCCTCCTCTTTTTGCTGAGGAAGACCGGCTCTGAGCTAACATCTATTGCCAATCCTCCTCCTTTTTTTTTCCTGAAAGCCCTAGTAGATAATTGTATGTCATAGTTGCACATCCTTCTAGTTGCTGTATGTGGGATGCGGCCTTAGCATGGCTGGAGAAGCGGTGCATCGGTTTGCGCCCGGGATCCAAACCCGGGCTGCCAGCAGCAGAGCGCGTGCACCTAACCGCTAAGCCACGGGGCTGGCCCTCTCAGAGCCATTTCTGCTTCTTGGCCTCAAAGGAAAAAAAATCATAGTTTGCCTTGTACATTTGGGGGAAAAACACCATTCAAGAGAGGAGATGCACATAAAAGGTAAATAGTTCTTTGTTCTCTTGAGAACATTTTACATCACGAGGCAATGTGTGGTTCTTGAGAAATTTGGAACAGGTGTATCCGGGTAAATAACATAACAGGTAAATCTAGGGAGTCAGATTGTGAATATGGGAGTTGACAAAACCCCTTGTTGTAACAAACTTTGAAACAATCAGATTTTTCTCTTATTTCAAGGGGAGAAAGCCAAAAACTAGGATGGTGCTAATTGCTCTGTTCTTAGGTCTGAGCTGAGTAATATGTTAGCCTGGCTGGGAAGGACGATTCTCATAGTTGGTTGTTTTTCCATTTCTAGTTCAGCAACTCTTCCCTCTATGATGAAGTGCATTGAAGAAAACAATGGTGTAGACAAGAGGATCAGCAGGTTCATTCTCCCCATCGGGGCCACCGTGAACATGGACGGAGCAGCCATCTTCCAATGTGTGGCCGCAGTGTTCATTGCCCAGCTCAACAACATAGAGCTGAAAGCAGGACAGATTTTCACGATTCTGTAAGTTCATTTTTCTTTCCTTCATCTGTAAAATGAGGACAGTGTGACTTCATTGCTTGAAGAGAGCGAATCATTTCTCTAGGGCTCAGCTGGCAGAATCTAGGGTTGTGTGGTTTTCAGTTCCCAAGCTGTGGCCGCCATGTTCTGCATTTCTCTGTGCCCACTCCATGCTCTGTGTTAATTGCTGACCCCGCTGTGCCATCCCCTAGAGTGACAGCCACGGCGTCCAGTGTTGGAGCAGCGGGAGTGCCAGCTGGAGGAGTCCTCACTATCGCCATTATCCTGGAGGCCATTGGGCTGCCCACTCATGACCTCTCTCTGATCCTGGCTGTGGACTGGATTGTGTAAGTAGCAGGTCCTAAGGGCACTGAATAAAACAAAGTCTGTATTGAGTTCCCTGGGAGCTTGGCACTCCACTGGGCCTGGGGCATGTGGAGAAACTAAACATGCTCCCTGCCTGGTGAAGGAGCCTACACACAAGACATTTGCCATTTACTAGTTGTGTGATAGGAGCTGTTCTGTGCTTTGGTCTGCTCCTCTGTGAAATGGGAATAATAAGAGAACCTACACCAGTGTTGTGGTGGAGATTAAGTGAGTTAGCACATGCACAGCACATAGAAGAGTTCTCAGCACATGGTAAAACGTTCAGTAAACATTATTGAAGAAAGACACTCCTGGCCAGGCTAGTCAGAGCGAGGCACAGGATGACCTGAACACTGGAGCCTGGCACTGGGCTTGTAGCTGTGCCCCCTGTGGTTGGGAAAGGTGGTTTCCAACCTTTTTTTTTAAGCCCTAGAAACTTGAAAGGGCTTCTCAGAATCCTTATGGCAACTCAGAGCAATGAAGGTGAAATGTACAGCATTGTCCAGACAACTCGTCAGGGGGAACTCAGTCCCTGAGCTGGTGAGTTAGACAGGACTGGAGCAGAGAGCCAGAGGCCCCGTCTCCTTCCTGAGCCAGTTGCCTCCTCTGCATGGGGAAGGCGGGCATCTAAGAGGCACTTAGCCAGGAATAGGGAAACAAGGCACCAGCGGGCTGCCCAGTGGAGACCTGAGGTCACATGAGCCCTCCACCACCCTGTGGCCTCTGATTCCACTGCCCTCAGCTTCTCCAGTGCCCTCAGGCAAGTGCACATTTTTTCCCCTCTCTTCAAAATGGGCACAATGCTTCCTCTGAGCTCCAGGGACGAAGGATGTTTATTGGGCCAATCTATGGGAAGACGAGCTTCTGGAAAGGACAGTGCTATTTTCTGTGAGATGATGTTTGCCAACAGCCATGGAATGCATATGAAGATTAATATTCAGTAGAGATGCAGTATGGAAATGAGTAAAAGAAGGGAAGCTCCCACACCGTAACAGTGAGTAGGAGAAAACTGGACACAAAACCATGTGTACGTTATCATCCCAGTTACCTGTGATTTTTATATGATGGGGTCTATTACACATAAAATACATGCATAGAAAGTGACTGGAAGGAAACAGATCAAAACATTAATACTGATTCGCTCAGAGTTGTGGAGTATGGGTGCGGCACTTTTGTTTCTTCTTTAAGCTTCTTTTCCTAAGTTTTCTACAATGAAGGTCTATTACTTTCTTAAGAATAAAACATATTTAAAGAAAATCAATTTAGAGTAAAATGAGGCCTTATGCCCTCAGTAGCGTGCTCTGCAGGAAACAGCACGGCCCCTCAGGGTCACAGCTTTGCCAGTGGCTGGTCAGCCTGCTGTGACAGGCTGCCGCCCTGGTAGCTGCAGGCAGCATCGGCTGTAACACTTGCCTTTTTCTTTCTTTCTTTTTTTTGTTTTCTTGAGGTCATATGGCTTATAACATTGTGTAAATTTCAGGTGTACGTTATTATGTGTCAGTTTCTGTATAGACTGCATCATGTTCACTACCAACAGTCCAGTTTTTATCCATCACCATACAGATGTGCCTCTTTACCCCTTTCACCCTCCCCCACCCCCTTCTCCTCTGGTAACCACTAATCTGTTCTCTTTATCCATGTGTTTATCTTCTACATATGAGTGAAATCATAGGTATTTGTCTTTCTCTGTCTGGCTTATTTCACTTAGCATAATACCCTCAAGGTCCATCCCTGTTGTCGCAAATGGGACAATTTTGTCTTTTTTATGGCTGAGTAGTACTCCATTGTATATATATATATACACCACATCTTCTTTATCCGTTCATCCATTGATGGGCACTTGGGTTGCTTCCACGTCTTGGCTGTTGTGAATAATGCTGCGACGAACATAGGGGTGCGTAAATCCTTTGAACTGTTGATTTCATGTTCTTTGGATAAATACCCAGTGGTGGAATAGCTGGATCATATGGTATTTCTACTTGCCTTTTTTTTTTTCCTCCCAGGGACCGCACCACCACCGTGGTGAATGTGGAAGGGGATGCCCTGGGTGCCGGCATTCTCCACCACCTGAATCAGAAGGCTGTGAAGAAAGGGGAGGAGGAACTGAGCGAGGTGAAAGTGGAAGCCATCCCCAACTGCAAGTCGGAGGAGGAGACGTCGCCTCTGGTGACCCACCAGAACCGCACTGGCCCTGCAGCCAGCGCCCCAGAACTGGAATCCAAGGAGTCGGTTCTGTGATGCGGCTGGGCTTCGGGCTTGCCTGCCCACGGTGGTGCCCCGCCCTGTTAGTGCAGTCGCAGGACACTGGCACGCCCTCTCCGACTTTTAGCCTCCCGAGCAATGCTTTGGCCCCGTCACCGGTTTGAGGATTACTTCTCCGCACAGGCATTGGGCTTCCCAGTGGGAACTGGTTACCGAGGACCAAGACACTCTGACGTTTGGCCCGATCCATGTCCAGGTGCAACTGTGTGTGCACCAGGGCTCTGTTTGGAAACACGCCCTTGGGCTGCCAGGCTCGTGGAGATAACAAGTCACGGGAACCTGGTGGTTAAAGCTTGGGAAAATACTGGTGTACTCCTCATTGTACCCAGTCAGCTCTGCACTGGGCGCTTTCCTGGCAAACCTAGTGGGTTTGCAGTCATCTGTCACATTGCCTTGTGAGCTGAAGTAATTGGAAAAGTTCCTAAATTCTTAGCCTTGGCTGGAATTTGCTGAGCTGGGACTGAGGTGTTTAGTTTGTGCTACAGCTAGGTGTGGCTGGCTTCTGGGTCCCTGGTTGCAGGTGGTGGGCTGGAGGCACGTGCTGCACATTGTCAAGTTAGAAATACTCCAGATGGTGTTAGCACTGCGAGGGTCTCTGGTCAGTGGCATTAAGTAAACAATGTAGATTCTGAGGTAAAAGGAAGGATGGGGAGCACAGCCTGCAGTGGGAAGGGAGCACCCTAATCAAGACAGGATGACAGGACACACACACACACAATTGTCCCCGCTCTCCTCCCGGCCCTGGCGATGTTTTCTGCTTCCATGACCGGGGCCTCTGACAACGCTGTGGCTTTATCCCCATCCACTCTGATTCGGCAACAGGCCAGAGAAAGGTCTCTTCTTCCGGGGAGGTGTGATGTGGTCATCACATTCAGGACCCTTGTTGGTTTATCAATCTATTATTTTAATTCAACTAGACCCTCCCTAAAATGCTGCATTGCAGCAAAAAATAAAAATAATAAAAATTAAAAAACATGAACCTACCCACTAATTGGGGTGGGGTGCCCCCATCCCCAGATCCCCAAGCTTTGGCTGATTTCCATGGACTTGGTTTCCTTTCCTGCCAGTAATCAGTGTTTAGAATTAGAAGCCCAATGTCCATGTGCCCCCAGATACCTGTGGACTTGGTTTGAATCTAGGTGAAGGGGCGTTGTAGAGAAGACCGGCGTTGCCAGTGACAGGGAAGACCTAAAAGGCACAAGACAGCTGTTTCACTGTGGTTGTTGGTGTGTCTCCGTGGTATGACCTGCAGCAAGTCCTGGGCCTCACTTTACCCCATGTGTAAAATGGAGCCGATGTCACCTGTCTCTTACCTACCTCAGAGGGATTCGGTGAGGCGAACTGAGTGAATCCGTGAGAACAACCATCTCACTTCTTGGATATCACCCCCATGCTCTTCTGATTTTGTACCTAAGTGATACCTTTCTCCCAGAGGCCTTGTTCTCCTGGTCAAGACAGCTTTGATGAGCAGGGCTTTGTCCTCAGTGTGCATTAGCAATGTTATCATGCCACTCATTCTCCTTGTAGTTATGTGAGAGCATCAGATGCAGCCTCTTCCTGATGTCCTTCAAGTGTTGGTGAGTTGACTACCCCGCCTTCCACCACGTGTCCCGGTACCTGACTTCCATGACTCCCAGACCCAGGCAGTGTGTCTGCCACCCCACAACAGGCCATTAAAGCTCCCACACTTTCAGCCTCATTCGTTCCCTTGTTTTCCCTGTTGCTGTGGTTTTGCTGTCACCCAGGCCCTACAGAAGGGGAGTACACTATTGAGCTGTATGCCCCATTGCAATGAGAATGGGTGGACAGGACAGAGACAGTCAAGCTCCTCCATTTTAAAATTAGGGGCCCGCGCCTGAGCAGAGCGGTGGAGAAGAGCCAAGGGCACAGAGCTGACCCGGCCAGTGGGAAGGCCCAACTCCCTCCAACCCTAAACCAGCTAAGCCACTCCCATCTCCTGTGAAGCCAGGAGGGACCAGGAACTGAGCCGAGAGGTGCCTGGAATCAGCCTCCGGTAGAGCTGGTTGCTGATGCCCTTCTGTTTTCAAAGGGGAAACAATCTCGTTGTTTGATTCCAAACTGCAAATGAACACTCACTGTTTTTCAGGTTTCAGTACCTCTTATCTTTCCTTCTTCCACATATATTTTGCTCTATAGGCACACACACACATATATATGTATACATATGTGTGTGTGTGTGTATATATTGTTTTAGCTCCAATCCGAGCAAGTTTGAGTGTGACCAGAGGTGAACTAACTCTAGGTTGTGTGGCTTGGGTATCCTGAATTTCCTGTTTCTAAAGGTGAATTTCACAAAATGTGGAAATTAGAGCTGAACAACGAGACCCAGTGACTGCACATCCTCTTTCCTGGACCTGGAAATGCAGTGAGGCGAGCACAGGGGCCTGGAGAAGGGACCTTCGGTATAAAATCCCGATGATGAGGAGCACGCCCCTTCCCCTGGGAGGGACGAGGTGCCGTTTTTCAGCCCACAGGAGGAATCAGACCCAGCTGGGGAAAATCCCAGTTTCTCATTGTCTCCCCCACTATTCTCTTCTAACATGTCGTAAATACTGTTGAGTACTGTTCATCTCTGTTTTGTATGTGTGACATTTGCCTTAAAACATAGCAGTCCTCAAAAATGAATATAGTATTTCTACTAGGATCTGCGTGTTCCTTTATTTCTTGCTTGTGTTTTGAAGTGGTGTTTGCTGAGGGAGCTCTACTAGGGGATGGCCTACGGGTGACTGAGTTGATTTTTTCTAGCTGCTTTTAGCCAGCATGACCCTGAGGCGGAGTAGGCCTGCTCAGGTGGCAGAGCTGCTGTGGGACCGTCAGTGGTGTGGCTTCCTGCTGGTGAACATCCAGCTGCTTGTGGGCTCCTGTTCAGCACTGGCAGGGCTCTTGCAAAAGTGAGTGGTTTTGCCACAAACCTCCATAAAGTTAAGTCTTGTTAGAACAACTAGGTGAACAGGCCCTAATTGAGCCTCCCCTGTAAGCCAAAAGCCAAGCTGGCAGAATGCCCCAGTCATAGAATTGCTGAGAAAATCCCTGCATAACGCGGTTGCCCGTGCCTCTACCATCGTCACCCCCACACCCTGCCCATTCTTTTATATAATCTCATTTAAAGTGACACCACATTCCAGCAAAATTAGGGAATTTAGAAGCCTCTTATAATAGGATTATCCTACACGCTCACACTGGAAGCCGAGTTTCCAGACCCTGGAGCCTCTGAAGAAACAGGTCCCTGTTCTGACCTGGACATTTCCAGCTCTTCATGTCATAGAGAAACCGGTTTTAATTTCTGGGCAAGGCCCAAAGGGATGAGGAGAGAGTTTGCATAGATCGAGGGCCTGATGGGGCCTGTTGTTAATGCCAGTTTGGGTTCCCACCTTGGAGAGTGGCTGCCTTGATTCTCTGTTGTGGAGAGTGTAGAGGTTGAGATTAGTACACAGTGATTCAGCTTTTCAGTGGAGACAAGTCTAGAGGAGCAATTCCGTAAGCCGCCTCTTCCCAGGTGAGCAGAAAGAGTGCTGATCTGTTGGGTCGCCTGAGCCTGCTCAGAGAAACTCCCAAGTGCCTCCATGAACAGCACAAACGATGTAGCAAGGAGGAACGTGTACTCTCTGGGTTCCGGTCCCAGCTCTGCTGCCTGCTTGCTGTGTGACCCTGGGCACAATAACCTCTGTGTGCCTCAGTCTCCTCATCTTTAGAATGGGGATAATAGTCATACCAATGGCATAGGCTATTGTGAAGAGTAGAGGAGTTAATAAATGTAAAATGCTCAGAAGGGCACGTGGCACGTGAAAGTGCTCTGTCAGTGTTGGCTCTCAAATCAGGTGCAGGGTGGCAGGAAAGCTTCCCAACTAGCCCATGTCCCTTTGCTTCGGGGTCCCACAAGTGGCATGCTCATATTTGATCTCTTTTTCCCTTGGAGAGACAGAGAGGAAGTGCTATTTCAACTCGCGGGCCCTTCTGCTGATCCATGCCTGGGTAGTGCAGGAGCGTGCCCGTTTTGAACTTTTGTTCTAAAAATATTTGGACAACTGCTTAAAAGGAGCCAGGCCTTGTAAACAATTGTCAGGATGCACTTGAATGTCCCCCGTTCACAAAAGAAGCCCTTGACTCACGCTTTCCTCCCTTCAGCTGTGTCCTCCCAAGGTGCAACGCAGGACGCAGACGGCCCCCAGCAACACCCTGCCTTCTCGACAGGAATTTGCTCTCCTGACCTAAACTCAGCCCCTACTCAACACGCTCAGGGAAGGCAAAGGCAGGCCTGGGCATGGAGGTTCTGGTCTGTCTCCCAGTCTCAGGGCCCTGGACCTGCAGGCCCTTCACCTGGGGGGTCTTGGGGAGCAAGAGAGTACATGGCAAGAGTGAAAACCTTAGTCATCTGAAGGAAAATTTACCCCTCTCACAGGAAGACAGCCATGGCTCCTAACTGGGTTTTCATCTTTTCAGAGAATTGGAACTGAGTTTCCTAAAATTTCTTAAATCAGAGTCTCAAACTGAGTTATTGTTCTTAGGAGCAATATATAAAAGAGTGTTGGGCTGGATTTTTAGCAGATTTAAGATTATTTGGAACAAGACATGGGACTGAGATGATAGCCTTGGGATTCTTAGGGTGGTCTGTAACAGGTGAACTTGCCCCAGGTCCTCAGGCACAAATGTCCCCAAGCTCTGCCTTTAGAGGAAAAGGAAAATCATTCATAAAGCTCAGAAGCGTTCCTTCTTTGAAAAAACAGTTTCAGGGGCGTCCTGAGATCAGTAAAGATTTAGTGTCTTTTCACTTTTTTTAAGTAATAGCTTTATTGAGATATAATCCATATACCATAAAATTCACCCTTTTAAAGTGTACACTTCTGGGCCAGCCCTGGTGGCCTAGTGGTTAAGTTCAGTGTCCCAGGTTCCATTCCTGGGTGCAGACCTACGCCACTTGTCAGCGGCCATGCTGTGGTGGCAACTCACATACAAAATAGAGGAAGATTGGCAACAGATGTTAGCTCAGGGTAACTCTTTCTCAGCAAATAAATAAATAAATAAATAAAGTGTGCAACTCAGTTGTTTTTGGTATATTTACAGAGTCATACAACCATCACCACAATCAAATTCCAGAAGATTTTCATCACCCCAAAAAGAAACTCAGGACCTCTGGCAACCACTAATCTACTTTCTATGTCCATGGATTTGCCTGTTCTGGACATTTCATCTATATCTATATAGATGTTTCCTTTTATAGATACATCCCAAATAAAGAGAAATGATGTTCAAAATGTAATTGCTGCCCACCTCCCACTACACTCCATTCTCCCGACATAAACACCCAAAGGAGATTCTGTTAAGATCTTCTTGATCATCAAATACAGACTCAATCATTTTAGCTTGTTGGGCCAAAAAAAGAGAAAGGATTTCTGGTTAATGGGTTAACCAAAACACTTAACTAATTTGAAGAGCCTTTTCCCCAAACATGTATAAGTGGTGAAGGTCTACGTGTCTAGATCACATGCTAAGCTCAACTGTGGTCTGGATCCAGGCAACTGATTCTGCTAACATGATGATAACTGCACTGTGGAGTTCCATGTGCAGCACTGTTCACACTGTATTCCGTGTAAATGATGCTCCCTCGAGTTGTGCAGTACACAGCCTTCACAGTTATACATGGCAGCCCTGAACTCCGGAGGTGAGTTGTAGTTAGATTTGACTCATGCTCAAACGTAAAGCATGTTGAATATGTCTGCCCTGTCAAAAATTTTTTTTTCTTTTTAATAAGTGGAGGCTAATGAGTCTCAGAGGCAATAGAATTGAGGTCAAGAGGAGCCTCCTTAATCAACTTCTCCAGTCAGGTGGGGTTTCCCGATTGTCAGCCTGCCTGTGGCAAGGCATCTGGGTTGGTTGCCAGGCGCTTTGTAGCATCAATGTACCTTTCATCTCTCTAGTCCCCACAGCACCCTGGGCTGGCTGCTTACAGGTCCTCCTCTCCTCCAGCCAAGCCTCTTGAAGAGAACCAATCTCATGACAAAAGGATCTTGTAAGTGGTGGTC